TTTATTTATTTATTTATTTATTTATTTATCTATTCATATATTTATTATAACTATTTTTTCATTTATTTATATATTTGTTTATTTATTCATCTACATTTATATATATATATATATTTATTTATATGAGGAAAAGTTTGGCGTAATCATGCACTATGTTCTTATCTAATTGTTCAGTAACTATCTGGAAGTGCGCCATATATCCATCTTGCCCATGTGGTTCTTAATGAACAAGGGAGGCGCATAAAACTATGAAATATTTGTTCACTTCAGGCTAGAAGATAGTGCTTTGAGAAAGGCAACTAAAAACTAGAACAGTTTTTAATATTAAATTAATAACACAAAGTTCCGTTATAACGTAGGTTAGATCTCAAATAGCGAAAAGCATTAATTCACCTAATGTTAGGTTAAAGTATACTGATTATAATTGAATAAACGGCATTTCCAATCAAACACGTATTACTTACCTTTGAAAATGCGAACTTTCTTTAACCTCATATTATATTTTCTAATTGTGGGCAGAATATAACTTCTAAACCAAAATTACTCGTTTCTATCTTCCTCAAGTGACGACAGCAAAGACATGTCCTTTAAGCGGAAGTCATTCTCTAATTCAGTCACGATTTGCTGAAGTGTAACTTTTGCGCTTTGCCCTTTTTACAGCATTGTAAACATGCACAATTTGTGTCTTCGCCATTTTGGGGATTGCATGAGTGTGGGATGGATCGGCGGCGACAGCGCGCTCATCTGAAGCGCCATTGAAATGAATGAGTGTTGGTGAAGTGAAGCTTCTGCTGCTGCTGCTGCCGTTGAGAGAACTCATTGCAAGTGACATGGAAAGCGCCGCACATCGATCCGAGCATAGATATGCGCATCTGCCGTCGTCATCGTCGCCTTCGTTGTCGTCCCGACGAAAAAACCATTCATCAGAATGGGGGTCTGAACGCATCATCATCATTGTCGTAGAGAATGGCGAGATGTACAATGAAAAGCTCGTACTCAGACTATTAATTATTCAGTTCTCATAGCTCTCGTCTTGCATGTGTCGCGAAACTCGTGCGTTCCATCTTTCAGAAACATATAAAGAACGAAGACAGATCATTGGCTGGGAAAGACGTACAGGAGAGCAAGCATAAATTCTTACTGTAATGGC